TTTTTTTTTGCGTGCTTTCTTAGGGCTTTAGAATTTTCCGAGTTTTTCCATGCTTCATGATTTCGGGAGGGGCTAGGAGGGAGAGGGACAGGGGAGGAGGGGTGCGGAGGACAGGGGATAAAATGATATAAATGATTAGCTATGACCTCATTACGAGAGATAGTGCGAAATTTTTCTGTCAGGGATGCTTGTTTAGAATACTTAGATCAGCCCTAGTTCATAGTTTGGTTCGTAAATTGTGTAGTTGGCACCGTTCCAAGTCGGTCTGACCAACGTTACTTCGCCTCGAAGTCAGCCTGCTTACGATTCTGATGCATGTTTTGCCTCATGAAAGGATTAGTTCTACGGTTCTACCGAAAAAAAGCGATTTTCGAATTTTCGAAAAAGCGATTTGCCCTTGGCTCGTGTTTTGAGCATCCCCACCTGCGCCCGAACGTTGTCCTTCCTAGATGAGGTATGTTACTGACTAACAGATGTGCTCGCCTGTAATGATTTTAATGAATAAAATTGTTCTGACGCTTTTTCACGCATCCAAACATCTACAGCAAAAAACTGTACATCCTCACTATACGGTGAAAATAGCAGCTGTTCAACAAGTCAATGAACTACAGGTGAAAAAAGTCGAAAAATCAGTTTTTTAGGTCATATTTACTTCCGTGTAGTAGGCAATGGAACCTGAACCTTTTTGACGTATTTAAAGCTTCTTATGCATAGGTCAAATGACTACTTTATCTGCAAAAGCAGCAGTTTACAATTCGACCGAATTTTACCAGCCATGTCTCACGGATGTGAGACGTGGGACATCACGCTTGCAGAAGAACGGAAATTGGCAGTTTGCCAAAAGCAGTGGAGCGACGGATGATTGACGCCAACAGGCTACAGCACATTCCAAGTAAAGTACTACGAGCCAGACCTGGCATGAAAGATATTACTGAAGCAATGTACGCCAGCAAGAAGAGATGAGTTGGTCATGTGGCACGGATGTCAGAGATAATAGATGGACGAAGCGGATAATGGAGTGGTATCCGCGCACAGTTGTGAAGGTGCGAATGCGTCGCCCACTTAGGCCCGTACACCCCAAGGTTTCTTGGGTTATGACCAGGGTGGGTCATCCCCCAAAATGGGAGATGTGAAGGCGAATTTTTGGGAGATGCCGACCCTAGTCATAACCCAAGAAACCTTGGGGTATATGGGCCTAGGTGGGCGACGCATTCGCGCCTTTACACAGTCAAGCGAACACTGAGGAGGCTACCAATGAGGTAAGGAGACCTCGTGGTACGCCTGCGTGGTACCGCGTGGACTTGGAGAGCCCAATAACGAGAAGAATGGAGAAGTTGCCAGTTGCATCGATGGCGTGACACAACGAACGTCGATGACATACAGCTGCTTAAGTATTCAAGTATGTGTAGGGTGGAGAATAGTTGTAACATTTTTAACAAAATAATTTATTTTTGTATAAATAATAGTAATAAATCCGTAAATTCCGATTGCAGCGGACAGGAATAAACCAAAAAATACAAAGAGACACAGTGAAAGCCTTAAAAACCGTTTTAAATTAACAATTAAAAACCAGAAACAATCCAACAATCACATTGTTTTCACTCAAATTATTCTGCTTTCATTATCCCCACACACTACTTGTATTTTTCGTGGAATTTTTTATAAAATTACAAGTGCAAAACACGAATTCCCCAAATTTCTTTGTATTTATCAATCGACACAAAATTGGTGGTTTGTCCGTCGAGCTCAAGGCTTACGACTTACTGTAGCATAGTACTGTACCATCAGCTCCTCGCAGATAGTCGACTTTGACAGGCTCATTTTTTCTACTATTTTACATAAACATAGAATTCATATATGCTAGAAGAAACTCGTGAGATTCTTTGGAAAAAAAATCGTGATTCGTAACTTTTACAACGAAGAAAACCATGATTCCTTTGGTTGATGGTAAAATTGATTCACCACAGCCTATATATAACAGACTGCAGGCGAACTGGATATAGTTAAATTTAAGCTGATAACAACCACTGATAATGCAAAATGTCAAAAAAAAAAAAAACGAAGGACCCGGGAGCATTAGAAAAAACAACGGAAAAAAGACCACTGCCAGTGAAAATTATGTCGTTTTGCGGCAAAAAGAAACTACAGTTAACACAATACGTTATATTTAGCATTTAACATAAAATTCGTTGGTAAAAACAAAAATAGCTATGATAACGACCCTCGACCTGCAATGATAACATTGCCTAAAATTTTCAAAAAATAATCAGAGGTAATTTTGATCTAAATCTCAAAATAAGCGAATTTTTGGCAAAATTCTGAATATTTTTTGACAAAATTCTGAACATTTGTTGATAAAATTCTGAACATTTTTTAACAAAATTTGTTGGAAAAAATTCACTGAACAAAACTTCTAAGCACTGCAACACAACCATCCTTCGATAAAGAAAAAACAGACCAACAAATAAGGGCAAATGGGATGGAACAGGTCTTTTTCTGTTAGCCTAAAATCGGCCAGTATAATATTCGGTTGGAATTTCGAGTTTGTACTGGCCTTCACCCTGGGCCAGTGCCAAGTAGCCCGCGTTCGGTATCACATTCCACCTCAGTACCAGTGTAACATTCTTGTGGCCCAATAGATTGGTACCATCGTCGGTGAAGTAATATTTCGGGGTGATACTCTCCTCGTGCACATGTGTCCATTCATCACGCCTTACAATTTTGTCCCAAAGTACAACCTAAAAATAAATTTTCAGTGAAAAGCTACAGTGCTGGCTGGATGAAATCTAAAATAGCAGTGATTTTTTTGCTAAAATTCGAAAAAATATCACTTGCCTGATTGACGGGTGATGTTGATGTTGAATATTCAGCCACCAAGTACAAGAATAGCTGCTTAACATTCCAGTTAAAAATCGGTGTTAAGTCAACTTCTACACTGAGATCGGCCATTGCAACATCGCTCCGTGAACCATCCGACATTGTGTAATCCGCAAAACTTTTTCTTAAAAAAGTGGGAAAAAATTCAATGAAATTCTGTCTTGTAAAGACCCAATTTGCTTGGTAAACACTCCTCAAATTTAGCAGCTCAGCAAAGAACCGAAACAAATCAGCTGAAATTTGATAGGTAAATTTATAGAAACTCAACAATATTTAAAATTTTTCACTTTAAGCGTTATCGCCGCCCGGGAAAGGAGGATGAGAAAGGGATATTTTTGCAGTTTTTTCACAAAAAATACCAAAACTGCCCGGGTTTTTCATAAAACAGTAATTTAAAAGGAAAAAATCAGTACTCTATCCACTCCCCTCTCTCCCTCTCTTATTTCTTTCAAGAGTTCCATAAAAAAGACTACAAAATCACTTACATACATTAAAACTGTTATCAGAAACCAGTGGATGGATACCAGATACAAACACAAAACCAAACTTACACTCGAACATTTGATGCCGATAGGGTAGAAGGAGCTGAATTTGGTAACCATACGGTGGACAGGAAGACACAGAATGTCATCGCCGAAAGCACCGATAGCATAAATGCAAAAACTGCATTGGCACGTGACCATACCGTGTGCATTTTACCTGAAATTATGCTGTTCATAACCCCCACACTTGGAGTAAAACGCTGCTATTGCGTATTAACAATCGAAATGCAAGTAGGGGGTTTCTCCAAGCCTAAACGTTTGACCGGGGAAAAAATTTCTTGGCCAATGTGCTACGCTGAACAGACTGCAGCATCCAGGTTGACCTTGGAAATGCGAATGGCAAGGTGTGGAGTTCAGGAGAAACGAATAGTGTAAAGTGGAAAATGTAAGAGCGAGATAAGATGTTTCGATCCA